GGGGAAAAAAGGGGAAGAAAGGGAGGAGAGAGGAAGTGGGAAAAAAGAGAGAGAGGAGAAGAGAGAGAGAGAGAGAGAGGGAAAGAGAGGAGAGAGAGGAGAGGAAAAAGAGAGAGAAGAGGAGGAGGGAAAAAGAGAGAGAGAGGAGAGGAGAGAGAGAAAAAGAGGGAAAAGGGAAAGAGGAGAGAGAGAGAGAGAGAGAGAGAGAGAGGGGGAGAGAAGAGAAGAAAGAAAAGGAGAGAGAGAGAGGAGAGAGAGAGAAAGAGGAGAGAGAGGGAGAGGGAAAAAGGGGGGAGAAAAAGAGAGAGAAGGGAGAGAGAAAAGAGAAGAGAGAAAGGGGAGAGAGAGAGGGAGAGAGAGAGAGAGAGAGAGGAAAGGAGAGGGAAGAGAGAGAGGAAAAGAGAGAGAGAGGGAGAGGGGAGAGAAGAGGAGAAGAGAGAGGGAGGGGAGGAGAGAGAGAGAGAGGGGAAAAGAGAGAGAGGAGGGAGGAGAGAGGGAGGAGAGAGAGGAAGAGGGGGAGGAGAGAGAGAGAGAGAGGGAGAGGGGAGAAAGAGGGAGGGGGGGAGAGAGGAAAGGGAAGGGAAAAAGGAGAAAAAAAGAGAGGGGAGAGAGAGGAGGAGAGAGGGGAGAGAGGGAGAGAGAGAGGAGAGAGAGAATGTCATTGTTCTTGATGTGAAAATTTGGGGGCAATATTGGGAATAATGAGAATCAATTTGTGGCATGAAAAAAGGTGATCAAGGAAAAAAAAAGGGAAGATGGGGAGCTGTAAGTTATTTAAAAGCATTTTGAATATGAGGTCATTAAAAGTTTTTTAACAATAAATTTATAACACCTTTAATGCTACCATTCACAACCCAAAGCAATACTGTAAAATTTCATCTTGTCTGTTTTGTGTACCATTCATATAAATATAACAAAAAACAATCATTTACACTAATAAGCACACAAACAAAATTAAAAACCATCACGTAAAAAATTAAAAAGGGACAATTTTCCCATGTCAATGTGAAAAAAAGAGCAGTTGACCCCCAAAAAGGGCCAAAAAAATTGAAAACCCGGGGCAATTTTTTTATTGTTAATTTTTTAGAATATTTTAGAACCTGACCCCCCCCAAAAAGACACCCTTCTAAATCAAAAATTTATATGGGGGGAAAAATAAAAGAACAATATAAAGAAACGCCTCTTTTCGGTGTTCCACTTTTTATTAGCTTTCAATTGAGCCATGTTCTTTTTTTTTGGGGGCTTTTGTCATTCCCCACCGTTTTCAAAAAACCCTTTTTAAAGGGGACCCATTATTTTGTAAGTATTGTATTTTTATGTAGTTTTTTGCTAGAACTCTTTTGTTCTATCCCCAGACAAAAACTCCCATTTTTTTTTGGGGTTAAAAGTTTTTTTTTAGGCTGAAATCTACCCACAAAATTTGGGGGGGTGACTTTTTATTAGTGTTTGAGACCCTTAAAATTTTTTTTTTTTTTTTAATGGGGGATTCCCCCCGGGGGGTCCCAAAGAAAAATTTCCCCCCAAATTTCCTCCCTTTTCAGAAGGGGTTTTTAAAAAAAGTTTTTTTAAAATGCAAAATTTTTTGCATTTAAAAAAATTTTTGTTTAAACACTTTTTCAGACTTTTTATTAATGTTTAAAATTTTTTTTTTCCCCCCTGTTTGGGGGAAAAAAAAGGCCCTTGTAAAAAAAAAAAAAAAAACAATGGTCGATAGACAATGGGGGAGTAATAAACCCCAATTTGCTCCCGTCAATTTATTTAAAATTTTTTGGGGGGGGGGTTTTTGGATTTTTTTGGGGAAAAAAAAAAAAAATCAAAAAAGAAAAAAATTTTTTTTCAAAAGCCCAAAAAACATCAAAAATTGGAAAATTTGGGCCCTTTTTATTTTAAAACAAAAAAAGGCCAATTTCAAAATAGGGTCCAAAATTAACAATGCAAACATTTCTAGCACTAAAATAACATTTTCTCTGTTCATTAGTCACATCTCCAGGACCCTCTTATATTACACTTGCTTTCCATTTTGAATTTTTATTCACACAAAAAATTAGAAGATTTGATGTTATACAGACTAGTGCATTATTGTAAAAATGGTATAAATAATATCAGCACATTGGTTACAGAATATTAGACCCATCAGATGACGTATATTGGATGCATGACATGATTTGTTTGCTCTTAAACATCAACAAAAATCGAACATTTCCATTACTTTGAGCTCAATTTCAAGGTATTTTTAGTTCATAAACCATTCAAAATCATCTCTAGTTCTGTAATATATTTTCCATTCTATCAAATGAGCCCCCCAAAAAAACAAGAATACAACCATATATACCACATGAAAATACACTGCAAGGTCACCGTTTTAACCGAAAAACACGGCCAGTTTTCCTCATTATGCACCGGGTCTGACCAGTCAGACCCATTCTCTCATATGTAGACCAACCAGCTTTCTCCTACAAGATTGGAAGCTGCTAGAATTTTGGCATACTATTACAGGACCAACACTGGCTTGCAAGCCGTAAAATTGTGGGACCGACAGTGAGAGGATTAATTAACTTTTAGTGCACAAATATACTCTGAAAACCACAGGAATATAATGCATTTGCCAATTCACCAGCCTACAATAGAGACAGGAAACCTTAGAAGACATTTTGGTCCAACCTGAAATAGTCAAGTGGAAAGTGCTTGAGAAAATGAGAGAAAGTCCCAAGTCAGTACAGTCACTTTCTACAAACTTTCTACTGTAATCTAAACTATTCTAATTTTCTATCCTCTTCTCTATAACATACAGTTATACAGAACACTACAGTACTGAAGTATATTCAATTACCATTGGCATTCAAGAGAACGTTAGGTATGAGTTGATCATGTCGACAGTTCTCCCGTCCTGGTACAAGCCGCTGATACTCGGGTGGATAAGGATCGCCATCCATATTAACAAGAAATGGAGGTGGCATCAGATGAGGAGCCATCTGTGTTTGTTCATCTAGCACATGGTTGTTGGCATCACGCATTAAAGGCCGATAATCAGTGTGGAAGAATAACTCCTTAGGTATCTGCAACATAAAAGTCACAATTTAACGTCCACACTAATGAAGTATACTTTACAGATTTATTACAGTACAATATATATACTGTATGAAAAAGGATGACTAATGTAATCAAAATTCCTAATTTTTTTTGGCAAGCTAATAGAAAGCTGTATTGAATAATAGTAAAAATGAAGACGAGCTTACTGCACAACATGACTTACAGACTTTAATAAAGAAGTATCATATGAAGTCCCAATTCAGCCTAACTAATGACATATCCGAGATCCAACCCAATATTATTAACTATCACTAATAACTACCCCGATTCCTTATACCAGCAATTATCACTAACAAGAGCCACTGCAGGAGATTCAATAATAACATCACTCAAACATACAGGTAGTGAGAAGAGTGGCTGTCCAAGCCACTTTCCTTGCCAACATCCTCTAATATCCTGTACAGGACGGCACTGCATTTTTGGCTCCCTCTTTCTGGAGTCCCACTATTTCGGCGGTTTTCAACAGCCATTGTTCATTATGTTCAGAGCTTTTACCATTTTTCCACTGTTATCGCTACTTTCGTACAACAGTTGCACAAGGGAAGGACGACCGGCGCCATATTTTAAGGCAAGTATTGTATGTGTATTTATTTTACTATTTTTATCTTTTTTTAATACCTAGCTGAATTGAGCGCAGTGTTAACATGTTATCAGCATTTTAGACACATTCAACAATGGAAAAATGGCTAATAACAAAAAAGGCACAATACCGTGACTGGAACAATACACAAACAACCCACACATAGAAGAGAGGAGCTTATGACTTGTAAATGGTCCTAGTCTGACCGTAACAAGTCACACTAACCTTGTAAATGGTCCAAGTCAGACCGAAACGTCATCGTAAGCTCCTCTCTTCTATGTGCGGGTTGTTTGTGTAAAAAATGGCTCTTTTCCATCCGAAGCCATTTTCGCTTATCATTTGAGGTCGCAAACCTACGAGCCGAAAGAATGGTGCTCCCTTGTACTCTGCTCCACTCCATCTGCCAAGCTCCCTCACATGTGTCTGCACACACATATTCATAAGACAAGCCTTAGTTTTTAATTTAGCCATCTAAACACATTTAATACTCATCCACCCTTCCTCTGCCATAGTTAGCAGTTCGTGGTTCTAGTGTTCGGAAATATGTATGGTCTTGCATACATGACAATAGCAAAAAAAAATATTTTATAGAACTCACTTTGCTTCTTGAACATTTGTAGCTTTATGAGCATCTATATATAGTTATGGAGAAACTGATTTGTTTCACATGGTTTAATATCAGACATGTTTGAAGTGTTTACTTTAAGCATTTACATGTTTCTTTGTCAATAGTAGAAAGATTGTACAAAGCATGACTGTACAAGGTCATGCCTAATTTCTTGTAACACAGCTGTCCATGATGTTGGTATGTCCCGGGGGTCTATGCGAGTGATGCACAAGTAATCCTAATTCATAGAGCCCCCAAATTTGCTGGGAGCAGAATTTCTATGCCTAAATTTGCACGAATGACATTTAGGCAGACACGAGAGAATGTGCAGAATACAAAAAAAATCCTGCCCCACCCAAGGCACGATGGGTGCAAATACTCTCTCAGTGTGATGACTATGGTGTGCAGGTGTGAATCCCTTAATTCCAACAGTGCTGGTAGCGAGGATAGTGATCCTGAATCACAAAATTGTAATAACACGATTGCAAATAAATCACAGAATGAGTGGGACTTGAACCAATGGCCAGCTGACCAAGTGGTTAATGCATTAGCCTGCAAGTTCTAGGACTGAAGATGACATATGAAAAGGAGACATATGACAAGGAAACATGACAATTCAATGCAGGAATTGGTGATATTCAAGTGGAAGTATTTCATGCCAATAAAATCATAATATTTCATTGGCATAATTAATGTGATGTTATATTGTTTACAACCTTTCAACTTTCATGAAATAAAATACCCTGGAAAAGGTGGAGAAAAACAAATGAACCCACTGAAAAAAAAAAAAGCAGCTGTTATCAATTATACAAATAATAAGCATTTAATCAACAAATCTGACATGCAAATTGGGTTTGTTGATTGCGTAAGAAAGTTTCAAGTGATACATAAAACTTTTTTCCATCTGGATGATATTGTAATGTTGAATGCCTACTTATAATATACTATACTAAATCAAGACTTGACACAGACCATATATGCTGACTGCAATATGTCTGTCAAAAGACAATACAAAAATTTAAGTTACAACTACAGCACCACACTGCTACCATAGTAACAAATTCCATCCAGTCTAAAATCTGGTAATTGGTCACTATTTAGCACTAATTCTTCCTACTGAGGAGGAGGAAAAAGACTAAAGAGATGTAATATGTGTACTCACACCACAAGATCTCCACAATGCTAACACAGTATTTGTAAATAACAAAAAAAAAGAAAAGCACAATACCATGACTGGAACGATACACAAATAACCCGCACATAGAAGAGAGGAGCTTACGACGACGTTTCGGTCCAACTTGGACCATTTACAAAGTCACACTGACTTTGTAAATGGTCCAAGTCGGACCGAAACGTCGTCGTAAGCTCCTCTCTTCTATGTGCGTGTTATTTGCGTACAGTATTTGTACATAGTGTATATATGTTATAGATGAACAAAACTGGAGAAAAGGGAAAAGAGAAGGGGAAGGGAGAGATGGAAAAGGGAGGGAGGGAAAGGGTAGAGGAGAGGAAAGAAAAACTAAACACTTATTTTAACTATGCCACCTCTCAAAATTAGAGTGTACTGTGCAGTACTCACCTGTTGATATTTTTCATTATGGCCTATTCCAAACAGTATCAAGTGTCCATGAGAATCCGTGGCAGCTATAGTGAAGCCATCTGGGGACCACTTGGCATCGAAGAGTGCACCATAGCCTTGACCTTCAATAGTATTTTTAAAGCTCCACACCAAGGCACCCGTAAAAATGTCCCATATCATCAGCTGACCTGCCGAAAAAACAAATTTTGTGGAAACTTAATGCATGCATGAAAACTAACTAACAAGGTTAAGAATATAAAATTTCAACTTACAAATGCTCCTGGTTATGAGCAGGGCATTTTTTTTTTTTTAAACAATCAGCCTTACAACTGCTGAACTGCAACATAAGTAAAAAATGGTAGAAAAATGAGCTGGGCATAGCAGCCGAGGAAAGACAGAAAAGCGTTAAAGGACCGAGTAATAATAAAAAAAAGGGAACAACTCACATTAAGCAAGAAAGTGTAAAGTGAGCTCAAAAATAATGTCTTTTGAAGTCAGCAACAGCCAGTACCAAAAATAGAGCTGACAAACCAAGAACAACCATCAAGAATTGAACCAATAATTAAGTGAGGATTCCTGATGGAGCTTGACACATTAAAAACATTATACACAAATGGAGTATCACCACAGATACTACGAAGTGAAATATTAAGTCATTCACAGATTTTAACTAATCATTACTGTCTAGTGAAATGCCAGACAATTCAAAGGCGATAAATAGATAATATTAAGAAGGGAAATACAAAGAAAGCCCTGAACTACAAACTTTGTCCCAAAGTCTTACATACTGCTAATAAAAATAAGACTTAAATATCTAGATAGCAATAAATTGTTCAGAGAACAATATGGATTCAGAAACAGAAAATTGTGCCCTATAACTTCATAAGACATAACTGAAGAAGTGTCAGGTAACTGGGGTATGGGTGCCTCCAGATTCTACAATCCCTGAACAATCTAGCCATTTACAAATGTTGAGACCTTCATATGATCATTTCAGTCCATATGCTAATTTTTGAAACATTTTCTAACACATTTGCAAAATGGTGAACATTTTCTGGTACTGAAACAACAGGAATATGCAGTTATATTAAAGGTTAAAAACAAGCAAAAATGATAAAATGATTTGCATAATTCTGAAAGAAAACACCTCCTGGGTATCAATTAATGCTTTACACAGTATTTCCTATTTTTTATATTGCCTTTGACCAACAAAGCATAATTATTTAAGCCTGAGCCTCTCTTTCTCTTCTTCCCGTTGTATTTAAATACCAGTTCTTTGTTTTCTTATACCCCCTCATTTTATATTATCCTTCTATATGAATCGGTTAATGTATAAATACAAATGAAAAAAATGATTAAAATCTCTATCAATGAATACAGGTACACAGAAGATCCTGCCATTATTACCATCATGTGCCGCAGAAATAATAAGTCTGGGCTCGTGAGGATGGGCTTCAATTACATAAGCATTATCCTCATGACCTTGGAGTATATGTTTCAGTTCTCCCGTGGTGCTATCCCAAACTCGAAGCCACTTGTCATTACTGGCAGTAATAACATACTCATCTGACTGGTTCCATCCAACCATTGTCACTTGTAACCGACGAATTTCTTCAGGAGGAGGACTAACTCTGGGAGAAAATAAGCACAATAAAAGTAAAGCTCAAATAACATCTACTTAGTACAATTACAGTATATACGGAAACAGGATGAAAGTAGTGGTCAAGTTAAAATCAATGAGGGTAGAAACTTGTCTCTGAATAAAATTGTTAATTTTTCTTTAAGTAAGGAGAGACTTTCAAAATACCCAAACAAGATATGGATCTTTTTGGATGCATGAAGATGGTCAACATTTTAATTTAGGCTACCTGTGACAGAGTCTAAACTCTCATTTAACTGCTAAATTTTACAACTGAGGAACAACAACGACATGACTCAAAAACTGATGAAGGGGGTAGGAGAGTTTCGGTGGGGAGAAATAAATGGGTTTAGGTCAAGGGTATATGAGTTCGAGCTAAGGAAAGAGTAGCAATAATGTTGAAGGAACAGTTAGGGAAGGAAAAGATGGAATATAAATGAATAAATTCAAGGATTATGTGGATTAAAATAAGGTCAGCTGCTAAAAGTGGGTTATGCATCTTGAAAAGAGAGGAGTGTAGAGGAGAGAGATTTTGGGAGAGGTTGAGTGTTTAGGGAGTTTTGAACCAAGTGCGAGTAATTGTGGAGGGACTTGGATACTAGGTGGAAGAAACTGTTGTAGAGGGCATAGTAGGTAAGTTTGAGCTGCCAGGGGTAAATGATAATGGGGGGCCTTTGAAATTTGTATAGAAAGATTTTGGTAATAAGTAATATACATGTTTTAGGAAAGAGGATAAATAAGTAAATGAGATATGATGTAGGGCATAATAAGAATAGTTTGTTGAACTATGTATTGGAGGATTAAAGGTTAATGGCAGACTTCAGGATATGCATGTTTATAGAGGGGTAACAGATATATCAGATCATTATTTAGCTGTAGCTACAGTGAGAGTAAGAAGTAGATGAGGTACAAGAATGGCATCAGCAAATAAGAGAAAGGTGAAAGTTTATAAACTGAAAGAGGAGGTAGTTAGAGTATTATATAAGCAACAACTGGGAGAAAGATGGGCTAGTGGGAGTATAAGTAATGATGAGGTTGAAGATGTATGGGGCAGATTTAAGAATGTAGTGCTTGAGTGAGCAACAAAAGTCTGTGGATACAGGAGGGTGAGTGCAGGAGGGAAGAGGAGTGATTGGTGGCATAATGAGGTCAACAGAGTGGTAAGTGAAGAAAATTAGCACATGAGAAGTTTTTACAAAGAAGAAGTGATATAAGGAGGGTGAAGTATATGGAGAGTAAGAGAGAGGTTAAGACAGAGGTGAAAAAGTGTAAAACTAGAGAGTGGGTGAGGTTCTGTCAACAGATTTTGCTAAGAATAAGAAAAAGTTTGGGAGTGAGATTAATAGATCGAGGAAAGCCTAGGGAACAAATGGATTTGACAGATAATATCCTATAGGAGTGAGGAAGAGCCAGATGTGAATGGTGGAGGTGAATAACATATTTCTGTTCAATAAAAGTATGAAAGACAGGAAAGTTCCTAGGGATTAGCGGAGAGCACGTAGTTGCTTTGTATACAGAAAAGGGGGAGAAAAGTGTAAAAATTATAGGGAATAAGCCTGTTGAGTGAATTCTTCCTAAGTAAGCCATGCATGCCGCCAGAGACGACTAAAATGCCAGAAGCAAGGGGCTAGTAACCCCTTTTCCAGTATACATTACTAATTTTAAAAGGAGAAACTTTCGTTTTTCTTTTCAGGGCATCCTGCCCCAGTGGGATATGGGTGGTTTGTTAGAGAGAGAGAGAGAGAGAGATATAGAAAGACAGAGACAGACACACACACACACAGACAAAGACAGACAGACAGACAGACAGAGACAGAGACAGACAGAGACAGAGACAGAGAGAGACAGAGACAGAGAGAGACAGAGAGAGACAGACAGAGACAGAGAGAGACAGAGAGAGACAGAGAGAAGACAGACAGACAGACAGAGAGACAGACAGAGAGACAGAGAGACAGACAGAGAGACAGACAGAGAGACAGAGAGACAGAGACAGAGAGACAGACAGAGAGACAGACAGAGAGACAGACAGAGAGGACAGAGAGACAGACAGAGAGACAGCAGACGAGAAAGAGAGAGAGAGAGAGAGAGAGAGAGAGAGCCAGCCTGTTGAGTATAACAGGTAAAGTGTATAGTAGAGTTAATACTCAAAAAGTTAAGGGCAAGACAGAGAGTAGGATCACAGATGAACATGGAAGCTTTAGGACGGGTAAGGGATTTGTAGAACAAGCATACAAGTGAACAATATTTAGATAAAGGTAAGGAACTTTTCATTGTATTCATGGATTTAGAAAAGATATATGATAGGGGACAATGTGGCAAACGTTGCAAGTGTATGAAATAGTTGGTAGGTTACTGAAAGTAGTTAAGTTTTTATGATAGTGAGACTCAAGTCTAGGGGTAGGTACATAGGAGAAGAGATTATTTTCCAGTAACAGTAGGCCTCAGACAGGGATGCATGATGCCACCATGAATGTTTAACATATTTATAGATGGGGGTTGTAAAAGTGAATGCCAGGGTGTTAGGAAGAGTGTTTGAGTAAAGTATGGAGAACCTAATACAAAATGGAAGTCATCACAGTTGCTTTTTTCAATAGCACTATGCTTTTGGGAGATTCTGAAGAGAAGTTGCAATGTTTGGTGGATGAATTTTGGAGGGTATGTAAAAGAAGGAAATTATAAAAGAATATAGAAAAGAAAGTCATGAGGGTTACAAACAATTTAGGTAATGAAAGATTGGATACCAGAGTGGAAGGATGGAATATGAAGTGAATGTATTCAAATTTTTGAAAATGGACTTATTGGCAGATAGGTTTATGAAAAATGAAGTGAACTCTAGAATTAATGCATGGGGGGGGGGGATGCGAGTGGTGCATAGAGGCACCTGCGAAGACAATGTTATGCATGGAGGAAAAGGGAAATGTATGCGAGTATAATGATACCAACACTTTTTTACGGGTGTTAAGTATGGGTTGTGAATGTTACAGCAAGGAGGCTTGAGGCAGTGTAGATGTCATATCAGAGGGCAATGTATGTTGTAAATATTATGCAAGGAATTCACAGCTTGGAGATTTGGAGGTGTGGGGTTACTAAAAGTATTATTCAGAAGGTTGGGAAGCGGTTGTCAAGGTAGTTTGGACATTTAGAGAATAGAACAAAATAGGCTGACTTCGAGAGTGCATAAATCTGTAGTGGAGGGAAGGCAGGGTAGGGGTCACTCTAGAAAAGGTTGGAGGGAGGGGGGTAAAGAAGGTTTTGTCTGCAAGGGGCTTACACATCCAGACGGAATGTATAAGTGTGCTAGATAGGAGCGAGTGGTGGCATATGGTTTTTGGTCTTGACAAGCTGTTAATTTGAGAGCAAGGTAACTTTGGTGAAGGGATTCAGTTAAATTGGTTAGCTGGACTTGAATCCTGGAGGTGGGAAATACAGTGCCTTCACTCTGAAGGACTGGTGGGATGGGATTATTTGCAGTTTGGAGGGGCATCTGAATTGTAGTATTAGCATGCCTCTGGAAAGACAGTGACAGAGTGAATGATGGGGAAAGTGTTACTTCTCTTTTGGGTCACCCCCGCTTCAGTGGGAAACGACTAGTGTTAAAAAAAATTGTATGCGACAACTGTAATGTAGTGCAACTAGTCACCATCAAAAAGGTCTGCAAATGTGAAACTTATCTGACTGCTTACACTTTCTAACCTTACTAACATACATCTGCTAAATTGTTAATATCACTGTACAGTATGTGTGTGGTTACTTGAATCAACCTATCCTCTCCCCAGCCTTCCCCCCCCCCCCCACACACACATGCACCACAACATCAAAACTATTAATAACAGTATCAGTTATTAAATGTAAAAATTTTCATTCTTACACCTGTCAAGTTTTCAAATGCTTCCTTGTATTACTATTTGTTTCAACTGATATTGTTCTCAATATCAACACCTATATTTCTCAAGCTTAAAGAGTACGTATAATTATTGTGCATAGAAGACTAACAATATTTAACAATCTACTTACCCAGGAAGTAAAGTGGTTATGTTAAGTACAATATTTTTCCACAGCTGGCACTCATAATACCATACAAGTGCAGTGCCGTCCCGACTCCCAGATATAAATTTGAGACCACTATGGCACCATTGAATGCTATCCACACGATCATGATGGCGCTCAATTTCTATCAGCTTTTCAACCCCATCCTTACCTCCAAGATGATACACCCTAAGAAAAAATACTTTCACTTTATTTTCACAATAGGAAAATGAGTAGCAATACCAATTTATTCATCTTTTAACTAAGTGAAGATGCAATCCTGCATCATATACATGAAGCAGCTTAACCCTCATTGTCCAGACTCCCAAAATTAATATTGGTCTCAGTGTCCACATTTAAAGAAAAATTCTTTTGCAATGTAGAGAATCTTTCTGAAAGTAATGATGCCGAAAGTGTAAAATTTGATGAAAAACTTGCGAAATTATGCAAGTACAAAATAAGCAGTCTGGGCACTATTTACACCTCGGCAATTTTACCCACACCGAGTCCTATTTTAAACAAATTACATAGCTTCTGTCAATCAAATTCTTAGCAATTTTGCTAGTATGCCTTCTGTTCTATCAATGGAGCACAAGAAACTGCCCATTCAACTATTACAACTAACCTATAAAGTGCACAGATATCAAGTTCAAAATAAACAATGTAGATATTCCAGGCACTAAAACATTTCCTCTGTTCATTGATCACATCCTCAGGCCTCTATATTACACTTGCCTTTCCATTTTGAATTCATATCATATCAAAAATTGAAATTTACTCTACATGTCAGATACTGTAATATTAAAAATCTATAGAATGGACTGGGGGAGTATGGGGCCTTACCCATTCTCAGGAAGTTTAGCAAAAAGCCAGTATTTCAGCTACATCGAACCCAATTTCAAGCTACTTCCAGTCTTGAAACCACCCAAAATCATATTTATTTCAGTAGATATCTACCATTCTATCAAATGGTACCAAAAAAACAGGAAATAATACCTAGAAAACACTTCTAAGTCATTCTTTTAAACCACACATGGTCACTTTTACTTATCTCATTATGCAGCATTCTCTCAAATCTAAGCCAAAATTTCCAGCTCAGCTTATGAAGGAGCTGTGCTTATAACAAAGATCTCCATGAAGGACCCTGGCATCAATAATGTAATCTATGTGACGGCCACTCAAAGGGTTAATGACCTAGATAGGGCCTGAAGAAATAGTTCATTAGGCAAAAAATACATTAGGTAAAGCACATTTTCCATTGAATTGCAAGTTTTAACTTGAAATGGAGACCAAGATGATATTCCTTGTCAAAAGATTTGATAGGGTCTGATAGAGTCAGAGAGGAGTGATATCATATCCCATTAAACATATCCTGCCTCCCTCTCATCATCAGAGAGGGGCACTGTTTAATACAAGAATACTCCCCCTTCCCCCTTCATGAGTGCAAACACAAAAAATACCAACAATTATCAAAATATCAAGAGTTACAAGCAGAAACCCCTTCACTTTCATGAGTACACCAAAAACATGAAAAATTATCAAAATATCAAGAGAGGTATCTCATTTTGTTTATTATTGGGCTTAAGGGTTATAGCTTCTAGGTAGATTATTATTTGGTTGAAAGAGTCCAATGGCCTATGGTTATTAGACCACTGAACATGTATAGTACTAAAATACTCAATAGCTGCCAAAGTGCTAAGACAAATTTTAGCACTTGTTAAAAGTATACTGCAGATATGAATAAGCAGTTAGTGCAGTATATACTGCAGGTATGAATAAGCAGTTAGTGCAGTATATACTGCAGGTATGAATAAGCAGTTAGTGCAGTATATACTGCAGGTATGAATAAGCAGTTAGTGCAGTATATACTGCAGGTATGAATAAGCAGTTAATGCAGTATATACTGCAGGTATGAATAAGCAGTCAGTGCAGTATACATTAGCTTAATGCATTTCCAAAGTTACAATATGACACATCAGTACAAGCTTAGACTAAATTAACTCACCTAACATAATGGTCTGCTCCACCCAAAGCTAAAAAATTTCCACCTTGACTAAATGATGCACAAATAAGTTGGGCGTTGCCAGGTCGAACCCTCTCATTCACTTTTAGAGGCTTGGAACTGAAAATTAAAATACAGAAATGAATATTTACTAAATGCAGTTAATCATTTTAGACGCTTACTTTACATTACAGTATTCATTCATACGCTAATAAAATGCACCGTTATACAGTACTCGGCTATTTGTGGTTGCAGGGGTTGAGTTATAGCTCTTCACCCCGCCTCTTCACCGACTGCTACTAGGTCCTCTCTCCCTGCTCCATGAGCTTTATCAAACCTCGTCTTAAAACTATGTATAGTTCCTGCCTCCACTACGTCACTTTCTAGGCTATTCCACTGCCTGACAACTCTATGACTGAAGAAATACTTCCTAATATCCCTCTGACTCGTCCGAGTCTTCAACTTCCAATTGTGACCCTTTGTTTCTGTGTCCCATCTCTGGAACATCCTGTCTTTGCCCACCTTGTCTATTCCGTGCAGTATTTTACGTTATGTCTCCCCTGACCTTCCTGTATGTATGTGCACATGCTTGTGTGTACATACTCCAAGTAGATCTGGACAAACTGCAAGATTGGTCATGTAAGTGGTTACTTAAATTCAACCCCAATAAATATAAGGTAATAAAGATTGAGGAAGAACCATAGACCAGGTACAGGATATAGACTGGGGAAGGGGCTGTAAACCTCCCACCAAAAGAAAAACCTAGGGATGAGTACAGCACCTGATACAGTATACCTCCAGAGGTCCACATCATCTGCAGCCAAAACTCATCTGGCAAATCTATGAGTAACCTTCAGGAATCTCAACAGTGTTATTGCAAGCCCTTTATATATCAGAACAATATATGATATGAATATTATGCAGATAATTTATAGTTTGGAGATTAGGTGGTGGTCTGGTGATACTACAAGTATTATCCAGAGGGCTGAGGAGGGGGGTTACTGAGGAGGTCTGGACAATTAGAGAGGATGAAGTACAATAGGATGACTTGGAGGGTGTATAAATCTATCGTGGAGGGAAGGCGAGGCACAAGTCATCCTAGGAAAGGTTGTAGGGGGTAAAGGAGGCTTTGTATATGAGGGGCTTAGGCATCCAACAGGCATGTATGAGCGTGTTAGACAGTGAGTGAAGGCAAGTGATTTTTATGACTTGACATACTGTTGGAGCGTGAGCAAGATAACAATTATGAAGGAATTCAGGGAAACCCATTAGCCAGACTGGAGTCCTGGAGGTGGGATGTACAGTGCCTGCACTCTGAAGGCTGGGGATACTGCACTTTAGAAGAACATCTGAGCTTCAATGTCAGCATGCCTCTAGCAAGACAGTAATGGACTGAGTGATAGTAAAACATTTCTTCTATTTCTGGGACACCCTATCTCGGTGGTGGACTGAAGGTATGTTAAATTTTTTTTTATCATGGCCTGTCAAAAACATGATTTGGGACACCTTCTTGGGGCAGGTGGTTTGACTAGTCAATAATATGACAATTAGCTCTGAAAATTGAGAATTTGAGATAAAAATTTATTGCATTTATGGATTTAGAAAAGGCATATGATAGGGTGGATAGGGGATCAATGTGGCAGATATTGCAAGTGTATGGTATAGGTACTGTAGTAAGCTACTAGTGTATGGAATAGGTAATAAGTTACTAAATGCTGCAAAGAGTTTTTATGAGGATAGTAAGGCTCAGGTTAGGGTGTGTAGGAGATAGATTACTTCTTAGTAAAAGTAGGCCTTAGACAAGGATGTGTAATGTCACCATGGTTGTTTACCTTATTTATAGATAGAGTTGTAAAGAAGTAAATGCTAGGGTGTTAGGGAGAGGGTGGGATTAAAGTATGGGGAATCAAATACAAAATGGAAGTTGTCGCAGTTACTTTTTTGCTGATAATACTGTACTTTTGGGAGATTCTAAAGAGAAGTTGCAAAGGTTAGTGGACAAATTTGGGAGGGTGTGTAAAGAAAGTTGAAAGTGAACATAGATAAGGGTAAGATGATGAGGGTATCAAACAAGTTAGGTAAAGAAAAACTGGATATCACACTGGAGAGAGGGAGTATGGAAGAAATGAATGTGTTCAGATATTTAGGAGTAGATTTGTCAGCAGATAGGTTTCTGAAAGACAAGGTTAATCATAGAATTGATGAAGGAAAAAAGGTGACTGGTGTGTTGAGGTATCTGTGGAGACAAACAACCTTATCCATGGAGGCAAAGAAGGGAATGTGCGAGAGTATAGTGGTACCAATACTCTTATATGGGTGTGAAGCATGGGTTGTAAATGCTGCAGCGAGGTGGTGGCTGGAGGCAGTGGAGATGTCGTGTCTAAGGGCAATGTGTGGTGTAAATATTATGCAGAGAATTGGAAATGTGGAAATTAGGTGTGGAGTTCCTGAAAGTATTAGTCAGAGGGCTGAAGAGGGGCTGTTGAGGTGGTTTGGTCATTTAGAGAATGGAACATAGTAGAATGACTTGGAGAGAGTATAAATCTGTTGGGGAAGGAAGGCTAGGTAGAGGTTGTCCCCAAAAAGGATGGAGGGAGAGGGGTAAAGGAGGTTTTGTGGGTAAGGGGCTTAGACTTCCAACAAGTGTATGTGAGCATGTTAGATACGAGTGAATGGAGACAAATGGTTTTTGGGACCCGATGAGCTGTTGGAGAGTGAGTAGGGTAATATTTTGTGAAGGAATTTGGGCAAATCGGTTAGCCAGACTCAAGTCCTGGAAATGGGAAATACAATGCCTGCACTTTGAAGGAGGGGTTTAGGATACTGGCAGTTTGGAGGGACTTCTAAACTGTCGTACCTCAGCGCCTCTGCAAAGAGTGATTATGTATGAGTGATGGTGAAAGTGTTCAATGATGAAAGTTTTTTCTTTCTTTTTGGGTCGCCGTGCCTCGGTAAGAAATGCCAGACGTGCTAAAAAACGAAGAAATATACACACACCTTTCTGGGTTTTCTTCTATTTTCTTACTAGTTCTTGCTCATTTCCTCTTATCACCATGGGGAAATGAAACAGAAATCTTTCTTCATAAGCCATGCATGTCGTAAGAGGCGACTAAAATGCTGGGAGAAGGGGCTAGTAACCCCTTCTCCTGTATACATTACTAAATTTAAGGACTGAAACATTCATTTTTCTTTTTAGGTCACCCTGCCTCAGTGGGATACGGACAGTTCATTGAAAAAAAAAAATCTAAGCTATACATATAAAAAATAAAGTTATTGACCAGTTTTAAAGATGTGCAAAAGGTTGTCAAAGTTAAAAATGTTAAAAAATTGGCAGAAGCAAAAACAATTTTGTAGAGTGCATGTTGTAACCAGTTCCAGTGTCAGAAACAGGTCACTGAGTAATATATTACTTCCCATAAAGGCCACATATGTATGGGGTGTACCAAGCTATTTGTAGATAACCAAAAGTACTCTTGAGATATTGTCGTTGTTCCCTGTAAGGTCTATTTCCAGTCTGAAATTCCAAAGGAAAAAAACTCCTGTTGTGTTTTTATTTTACCATCAGAGAAACCATTGCTTTTCCAGTACACCTTGGGTACATGCGTTTCCCCAGTCATCTTCTCCGCAACTGTATATTTCTCAACTGCAACATCCTACCTAATCAATTTAAAAAAAAAAATCAAATAAAATAAAATTTAAAAAAAAAAAAAAAAAAAAAAAAAAAAAGCAAAACTTACTCAAACTTGACATCGATACCTCTGCGAACATAGGTCCAAAATGCAACACAACCATCACCGCCCGTAGAGACTAGAACGCCTTCACTGTCAGGAGCAGGACAGAACTGCAGGGCTGTGATCATCCCAGTGTGGCTGCTTAACACTGCAATCTGAATATAGCATTTTTATTAAAATCTTTTATTCATTACTTGTGACAAATACACAAAAAATTGAAATGAAATAAGTTCTAGACAATGTAAAAAGAAAAAATATTATATGTAAATATGTATTCACCCTGCCTCGGTGGGAGACGGCCGACTTGTTGAAAAAAAAAAAAAAAAAAATGTATTCAATGATGATGACTATACAGTAACGTACAAATGAAAATTGCATAGTGAATGTTCATAAGTTTATATTTAAGTTAAATCTTTCTTTCAACACACCGGCCATATCCCACTGAGGTGGGGTGGCCCAAAAGGAAAAACTAAAGTTTCTCCTTTTATATTTAGTAATATATATAGGAGAAGGGGTTACTAGCCCCTTGCTCCCGGCATTTTAGTCGCTCTTATGACACGCATGGCTTACGGAGGAAGAATTCTGTTCCACTTCCCCATGGAAATTAAGTTAAATATGTTTACATATTTAACTTAAGTATAAACTTTATGAAAATTATTATACTGCAAATGCAGGCTAATTAACTATTTGTAAACTATATGGTCTAGGAAGTCACAATCAGAACAACCATCAATGGAATGTTAGGCAGTCAGCCAAGATGAAAGAAAAAAAAATCCGACTGCAAAATATCTAAACCAGGGAAGGAAAAACAGCAGGTCACTGCATAAACCTCCAGCCATCAAGCCACTCTAGAACTTTATTATTATTATTATCACACTGGCCGATTCCCACCAAGGCAGGGTGGCCCGAAAAAGAAAAACTTTCACCATCATTCACTCCATCACTGTCTTGCCAGAAGGGTGCTTTACACTACAGTTTTTTAAACTGCAACATTAACATCCCTCCTTCAGAGTGCAGGCACTGTACTTCCCATCTCCAGGACTCAAGTCCGGCATGCCGGTTTCCCTGAACCCCTTCCTAAATGTTACTTTGCTCACACTCCAACAGCACGTCAAGTATTAAAAACCATTCGTCTCCATTCACTCCTATCAAACACGCTCACGCACGCCTGTTGGAAGTCCAAGCCCCTCGCACACAAAACCTCCTTTACCCCCTCCCTCCAACCTTTCCTAGGCCGACCCCTACCCCGCCTTCCTTCCACTACAGACTGATACACTCTTGAAGTCATTCTGTTTCGCTCCATTCTCTCTACATGTCCGAACCACCTCAACAACCCTTCCTCAGCCCTCTGGACAACAGTTTTGGTAATCCTGCACCTCCTCCTAACTTCCAAACTACGAATTCTCTGCATTATATTCACACCACACATTGCCCTCAGACATGACATCTCCACTGCCTCCAGCCTTCTCCTCGCTGCAACATTCATCACCCATGCTTCACACCCATATAAGAGTGTTGGTAAAACTATACTCTCATACATTCCCCTCTTTGCCTACAAGGACAAAGTTTTTTGTCTCCACAGACTCCTAAGTGCACCACTCACCCTTTTCCCCTCATCAATTCTATGATTCACCTCATCCTTCATAGACCCATCCGCTGACACGTCCACTCCCAAATATCTGAATACAATCACCTCCTCCATACTCTCTCCCTCCAATCTGATATCCAATCTTTCATCACCTAATATTTTCGTTATCCTCATAACCTTACTCTTTCCTGTATTCACTTTTAATTTTCTTCTTTTGCACACCCTACCAAATTCATCCACCAATCTCTGCAACTTCTCTTCAGAATCTCCCAAAAGCACAGTGTCATCAGCAAAGAGCAACTGTGACAACTCCCACTTTGTGTGTGATTCCTTACCTTTTAACTCCACGCCTCTTGTCAAAACCCTCGCATTTACTTCTCTTACAACCCCATCTATAAATATATTAAACAACCACGGTGACATCACACATCCCTGTCTAAGGCCTACTTTTACTGGGAAATAATTTTCCTCTTTCCTATGTACTCTAACTTGAGCCTCACTATCCTCGTAAAAACTCTTCACTGCTTTCAGTAACCTACCTCCTACACCATACACCTGCAACATCTGCCACATTGCCCCCCTATCCACCCTGTCATACGCCTTTTCCAAATCCATAAATGCCACAAAGACCTCTTTAGCCTTATCTAAATACTGTTCACTTATATGTTTCACTGTAAACACCTGGTCCACACACTCCCTACCTTTCCTAAAGCCTCCTTGTTCATCTGCTATCCTATTCTCAGTCTTACTTTTAATTCTTTCAATAATAACTCTACCATACACTTTACCAGGTATACTCAACAGACTTATCCCCCTATAATTTTTGCACTCTCTTTTGTCCCCTTTGCCTTTATACAAAGGAATTATGCATGCTCTCTGCCAATCCCTAGGTACCTTACCCTCTTCCATACATTTATTAAATAATTGCACCAACCACTCCAAAACTATATCCCCACCTGCTTTTAACATTTCTATCTTTATCCCATCAATCCCGGCTGCCTTACCCCCTTTCATTTTACCTACTGCCTCACGAACTTCCCCCACACTCACAACTGGCTCTTCCTCACTCCTACAAGATGTTATTCCTCCTTGCCCTATACACGAAATCACAGCTTCCCTATCTTTATCAACATTCAACAATTCCTCAAAATATTCCCTCCATCTTCCCAATACCTCTAACTCTCCATTTAATAACTCTCCTCTCCTATTTTTAACTGACAAATCCATATATTTTAACTGATTAGCTGTAGCACTAAGTTACCTCTGGAGACATCTAATGCACTTTTTTTACAGGGCAATATCTCAAACACTATCACACTATACATAGAAATTTTAATTCTGGGAAAACTTGAACCAGAAGCATATTTTTTTTTTTTTTTCCAACAAGTCGGCCGTCTCCCACCGAGGCAGGGTGACCCAAAAAAGAAAGAAAATCCCCAAAAAGAAAATACTTTCATCATTCAACACTTTCACCACACTCACACATTATCACTGTTTTTCCAGAGGTGCTCAGAATACAACAGTTTAGAAGCATATACGTATAAAGATACACAACATATCCCCCCAAACTGCCAATATCCCAAACCCCTCCTTTAAAGTGCATGCATTGTACTTCCCATTTCCAGGACTCAAGTCCGACTATATGAAAATAACCGGTTTCCCTGAATCCCTTCACTAAATATTACCCTGCTCACACTCCAACAGATCGTCAGGTCCCAAGTATCATTCGTCTCCATTCACTCCTATCTAACACGCTCATGCACGCTTGCTGGAAGTCCAAGCCCCTCGCCCACAAAACCTCCTTTACCCCCTCTTTCCAATCCTTTCGAGGACGACCCCTACCCCTCCTTCCTTCCCTTCTAGATTTATATGCTTTCCATGTCATTCTACTTTGATCCATTCTCTCTAAATGACCAAACCACCTCAACCACCCCTCTTCAGCCCTCTGACTAATACTTTTATTAACTCCACACCTTATCCTAATTTCCACACTCCGAATTTTCTGCATAATATTTACACCACACATTGCCCTTAGACAGGACATCTCCACTGCCTCCAACCGTCTCCTCGCTGCTGCATTTACCACCCAAGCTTCACATCTATATAAGAGTGTTGGTACTACTATACTTTCATACATTCCCTTCTTTGCCTCCATAGATAACGTTTTTTGACTCCACATATACCTCAACGCACCACTCACCTTTTTTCCCTCATCAATTCTATGATTAACCTCATCCTTCATAAATCCATCCGCCGACACGTCAACTCCCAAGTATCTGAAAACATTCACTTCCATACTCCTCCTCCCCAATTTGATATCCAATTTTTCTTTATCTAAATCATTTGATACCCTCATCACCTTACTCTTTTCTATGTTCACTTTCAACTTTCTACCTTTACACACATTCTCAAACTCATCCACTAACCTTTGCAATTTTTCTTTAGAATCTCCCATAAGCACAGTATCATCAGCAAAAAGTAACTGTGTCAATTCCCATTTTGAATTTGATTCCCCATAATTTAACCCCACCCCTCTCCCAAACACCCTAGCATTTACTTCTTTTACAACCCCATCTATAAATATATTAAACAACCATGGTGATATTACACATCCCTGTCTAAGACCTACTTTTACCGGGAAGTATTTTCCCTCTCTTCTACACACCCTAACCTGAGCCTCACTATCCTCATAAAAACTCTTAACAGCATTTAATAACTTACCACCTATTCCATATACAGTGGACCCCCGCTTAACGATCACCTCCAAATGCTGCCAATTATGTAAGTGTATTTATGTAAGTGCGTTTGTACGTGTATGTTTGGGGGTCTGAAATGGACTAATCTACTTCACAATATTCCTTATGGGAAAAAATTCGGTCAGTACTGGCACCTGAACATACTACTGGAATGAAAAAAGTTCGTTAACCGGGGGTCCACTGTACTTGCAACATCTGCCACATTGCTCCTCTATCCACTATCATATGCATTTTCTAAATCCATAAATGCAATAAAAACTTCCCTACCTTTATCTAAATACTGTTCACATATATGCTTCAATGTAAACACTTGATCTACACATCCCCTACCCACTCTGAAACCTCCCTGCTCATCCGCAATCCTACATTCTGTCTTACCTCTAATTCTTTCAATTATAACCCTACCGTATACTTTTCCTGGTATACTCAGTAAACTTATTCCTCTATAATTTTTACAATCTCTTTTGTCCCCTTTCCCTTTATATTAAGGGACTATACATGCTCTCTGCCAATCCCTAGGTACCTTCCCCTCTTTCATACATTTATTAAACAAAAACACCAACCACTCCAACACTATATCCCCCCCTGCTTTTAACATTTCTGTCATGATCCCATCAGTTCCAGCTGCTTTACCCCCTTTCATTCTACGTAATGCCTCACGTACCTCCATCACACTTACATTCTGCTCTTCTTCACTCCTATAAAATTTCTTGACAGTGCCTCTTCCACTCTATCATCTGCTCTCCTTTTGCACTCTCTCACCACTCTCTTCACCTTTCTTTTACTCTCCATATACTCTGCTCTTCTTATAACACTTCTGCTTTGTAAAAACCTCTCATAAGCTACCTTTTTCTCTTTTATCACACCCTTTACTTCATCATTCCACCAGTCACTCCTCTTTCCTCCTGCCCCCACCCTCCTATAACCACAAACTTCTGCCCCACATTCTAATACTGCATTTTTAAAACTATTCCAACCGTCTTCAACCCCCCCACTACTCATCTTTGCACTAGCCCACCTTTCTGCCAATAGTCGCTTATATCTCACCCGAACTTCCTCCTCCCTTAGTTTATACACTTTCACCTCCCTCTTACTTCTTGTTGCCACCTTCCTCTTTTCCCATCTACCTCTTACTCTAACTGTAGCTACAACTAAATGATCCGATATATCAGTTGCCCCTCTATAAACATGTACATCCTGGAGCCTACCCATCAACCTTTTATCCACCAATACATAATCTAACAAACTACTTTCATTACGTGCTACATCATACCTTGTATATTTATTTATCCTCTTTTTCATAAAATATGTATTACTTATTAACAAATTTCTTTCTACACATAGCTCAATTAAAGGCTCCCCATTTACATTTACCCCTGGCACCCCAAATTTACCTACTACTCCCTCCATAACATTTTTACCCACTTTAGCATTGAAATCCCCAACCACCATTACTCTCACACTTGATTCAAAACTCCCCATGCATTCACTCAACATTTCCCAGAATCTCTCTCTCTCCTCTACACTTCTCTCTTCTCCAGGTGCATACACGCTTACTATAACCCACTTTTCACATCCAATCTTTATTTTACTCCACATAATCCTTGAATTTATACATTTGTAGTCCCTCTTTTCCTGCCATAGCTTATCCTTCAACATTATTGCTACTCCTTCTTTAGCTCTAACTCTATTTGAAACCCCTGACCTAATCCCATTTATTCCTCTCCATTGAAACTCTCCCACCCCCTTCAGCTTTGTTTCACTTAAAGCCAGGACATCCAGCTTCTTCTCATTCATAACATCCACAATCATCTCTTTCTTATCATTTGCACAACATCCACGCACATTCAGACTTCCCACTTTGACAATTTTCTTCTTCTTATTCTTTTTAGTAATCTTTACAGGAAAAGGGGTTACTAGCCCATTGTTCCCGGCATTTTAGTTGACTTTTACAACACGCATGGCTTACGGAGGAAAGATTCTTATTCCACTTCCCCATGGATATAAAAGGAAAAGTAATCAGACCAAGAACTATTAAGATAAAATCAAAGAAAACTCTGATGAGTGTGTATAAATAAACATGTACATGTATGTGTAGTGTGACCTAAGCGTAAGTAGAAGTAGCAAGACATGCCTGTAATCTTGCATATTTATGAGACAGACAAAAGACACCAGCAATCCTACCATCATGTAAAACAATTACAGGCTTTCGTTTTACACTCACTTGGCAGGACGGTAGTACCTCCCTGGGTGGTTGTTGTCTACCAACCTACTACCATGGACCAGAAGCATGTCTAGGTAAAATACTCTTTCATTCCAACTTGATATGTAATTGTTGAAGGCTTATACAGTGGCACTCTGTTGCACAGTCCTCTACTATAGAATGGTTCCTGTCACCTAACAGACCTTTTGCAGTCAGACACTTCCCTTCACCATATCCTCTCTTCCTCTGCCCATCAGAATGAAATAATTCTGTTTTCTTATCTATCATTTATTTATATGCTTTCTTATTTTTTCAACATGCTAGCTGTCTCCCACCAAGGCAGGGTGACCCCAAAAAGAAACACTTTCACCATCATTCACACTAACACCCTAAAATTTTCTCATTCTCAGCAAAATACGTTAAACAAACCAGTATCTCACACTTTCTTTCACTTGTTCTTTTGCATTCTTTTAAGCTGTTTTCTTTCAATATATTTTAGTCTGCCTTGTATAAAGCAGTTTAATAGCAAAAAATAATCCAACACCAACTTGATTTTTCTAGGTAGTAGGTTGGTAGACAGCAACCGCCCAGGGAGGTACTACCGTCCTGCCAAGTGAGTAAAACTGAAGCCTGTAATTGTTTTACACGATTGTAGGATTGCTGGTGTCTTTTTTTTGTCTCATACACATGCAAGATTTCAGGTATGTCTTGCTACTTCTACTTACACTTAGGTCACACTACACATACATGTACAAGCATATATATATATACACACCCCTTTGGGTTTTCTTCTATTTTCTTTCTAGTTCTTGTTCTTGTTTATTTCCTCTTACCTCCATGGGGAAGTGGAACAGAATTCTTCCTCCGTAAGCCATGCGTGTTGTAAGAGGCGACTAAAATGCCGGGAGCAAGGGGCTAGTAACCCCTTCTCCTGTATATATTACTAAATGTAAAAGGAGAAACTTTCGTTTTTCCTTTTGGGCCACCCCGCCTCAGTAGGATACAGCCGGTGTGTTGAAAGAAAGAACTTTATTTTCTTTACCACTAATATAACTATCTATCTATCAATGTTGTTGTTCCCTGCACCTACCCTCCCATATCAACAAACCTCTGATCCACACTAGCACTGCCATTTAGGTTATTCATTTTAGAAGAAATAATCAACCCCTTCTGGCAATTCAGTCACTTAAGAAGTGCAAAGATACAGGGAAAGTGTTCTGCCCCACATTTCCTTTGAGGCTTAATGAGAAAATTTACTCAGAATTTCAAAAATAGATTAAGAAGACTGAAGGAGAATAAACAGGGTAAACATATTAAGAATATGTCAGAGCTAAGATGAGTATCTTAATGCTCCTGAGACAAAGGAAAAACCAGCAACATTGTCAGATGGAAACAAAATAAACAGCACTCATTGTAAAATGAATTTCCTAATTGTCTGAGACTGTGTTGACAACAATGTCACCCAACGGATTCTTCTCATTCAAATAAAACACCAACTTATACTTGGAACTGACCGGCGCAAGCGTTTGGAGATTCCATACTCGGATAATCTTATCACAGGAGCCAGCAGCAATGAGTCGATTCTCACTGTCAATAGCTAGGTCAGATATCTCGGCAGATGCTCCTCTCAGGGTCGCCAGCAACCGCCCATCGAGAATACTCCAAATTTTAACTAGCGTATCATCTGCACCGGTGATGATATATCTGGAAACCAATGGTTCATAACAATTAGTAATGATACTTTAAATTGCCACATCTCCTCTCATATTTTACTCTGATAAAAGAAGCTTTCTTTTGTGCCTAACAATATTTTATTACATGTAGACTACATTACCTGTATACCTCTGATATACCTTTGAAGAGTTTAATTACTCTTGGAGCCCAGCCATGGGCCAGAAAAGAAATAAATTTATTGTTACTACTTCATTCAGTATACTTGCCTCTAGTGGCCCAGAATAGTCTCAACGTTTAGTAAACTGAAGTGCTTCAAGTTTTCTTCATATTATACTGTAATTACACAACCTAGTGATGTGGAATATATCACTTTGGTTCAGGATTTTTTCCACACTAATTTCAAATATTCAAATTTTAACATTTCACTACACTAGCATGACTGAGTGTGACAAACATCTTTTCAGTTAGGTCAAACAATTCGACAAGACAAAATAATCCATTATAAGCATTGAAAAACTTTATAAAGTTTCCTAGAAGAGAGAGAAAAAAAATTGCAAAACTTGGTAAGTAAATAAGCTGTAGGGTTACTGTACATTTTGTTTTTAATGAAACATTGAAGATGAACCTTTTTCCATCAAATTCATGGCAAAGCTGCATAAAATCACCAACATGGGGATAACAATGGGTACTGATGTGACTGATTCACAAGTGGTACTAACACAGTAAATACACAAATAATCTGCACATAGGAGAAAAACTAAGTTTCAGTCCAACTTAGACCATTAACTAGTCACAGTTAATGGTCTAAGTCGAACCGAAATGTCAAAGTTCCTCCTATTTGCGGGTTATTTATGTATTGTTCCAGTCATGGTATTGTGCCTTTGTGTTCTTTAACACAGTAAAGATTCCTATTAACACTATGTCCCAGAAATTTAATGCACTAACACTAAGATACGACTTGCTGAAGACAACTGATAGAGTAAATATATGACTAAGAGACCCATGATTTTATAACCTAGCAACTCTTTCAGCTGACAGACTTGGTCAAAACTGTAGTCTAGTAGGGAGGCGAGTTATAATAGGGAGGCGGAGTTATAATAGGGAGGTGGAAAGGGAAAAATTGTCAATCAAATAATCATATCACGAAGAACTCATGCAATCGTAATAACATGATTGGAAAAACCACGGAATGAGTGGGGATTTTAACCCATGGCTAACAAGTAGTAAAACTCTAGGAATTGTGTAAGCCACTGGGCCAGGTGGCTACAATACCTAGTTGGATGAATCGTATTGTAGCTAGATGGCTCAGTGGCTTATGCACTGGCCTGGAGTTTTAAGATTTCCTCACCATGGATTCAAACCCCACTTGTTCTTTGATTCCTTTATAACACTAAGAAATGCATCATTTTCACATCATACTAGTGAAATTGTTGACAAATCAAAGAGAACAAATTCAAAAAGTATAACAGTCTCTGTGCTTGAAGAATGCAAATCCAATAATTGAACAGTATCCTCAAGGTGAAACACTTCAAATAAGGCTCAACAATGACTGTGGCCAATGAGAGATAAGTTACTCAATGGTATTCTAATTTAATATTATTAGAATGATATGATTTAATGATTATGAAATTAAGCAAAGTTTTGCCCCAGTAATGATGTATACCAAATACAGCTTCCAAAATTTTTTGAAGAATAATTAAGATAAACCAGTATACGGTTCAGGTATTTGTCAATAACCATATTCAAGACAGAAAGGTACTACAGTCCTGCCAAACAAGTGTGAAATGGAAACTCGTAATTGCTTTACGCAATGGTTGGATTGCTGGTCTTTTCCTTCTGTCTCAAACAAGATAACAGGCACATGTTGTTTCTTCTGCTTACACCTGGGTCACACTATACATGCATGTATATGTATACACACCCACATAAGTTTTCTATTTACCTAATAGTAGTTCTTTTTTTCTTTTCAATTCCATGGGGGAAGTGGAAATGGAGGTTTCCTCCAGAGCCAAATGTGTTGTAAAAAGCAACTAAAATACTGGGAGCACGGGGCTAGCAACACCTTGTGTGTAAATTGCTAAATGTAAAAAAAAAAAAAAAAAAAAAAAAAAGCATAATTTATTGCTAATGATTTGTGAACAGTTTTAACACTTTCTCACACTTGTGTAGATTCATGTAACTGATGCCAGCATTGTGCATGTAGATCAACATTTAAAACACAATGTCTTTAAATATGCTGCGAGCAGAAAATTTTGGCATAGAAGTGAAATGGGTTAGTGCAGCAAATAGTACATTATAAAAAAAATCCTGCACCCCCCCCACATTGTGCATGATGGGGTAAGTGCCTTTGAGGTGTTTTTTGTAGGACAGTTATTAGTTGTTTTATTAGCCGTTTCTTGGCACTCACTGAAGTGTCAGCAAAGTAAAATTTTATGAAGGTATTCAGGGGACAGACTAGTTAGCCAGACTTGAGTTCATGGAGGTAGGAAGTACGTACAGTGGAACCTCAAATATCGAACTTTCTTTGGTTCAGAAGGCTGTTCGAGTGCCTTTACCGAATGAATTTATTCCCATGAGGAATAATGTAAATTAGGTTAGTCCATTTCAGACCCTCAAAAATACACTTATAAAAGCACTTACAAAAACACACTTACATAATTGGGTGTGTTGGGAGCAGTTCGATTTTTGAGGTTCCACTGTACAGTGCCTGCAGTCTGAAGGAGGCGTAGGAATATTTTCAGTTTAGAAAGGCAGCTAAATTTCTTTTTTTTTTTGTTGTCAGGGGAGGGGGAAAGACCCTACCTCAGTGGGAGACAGCCAGTGTTAAAAAAAAAACTAAATGATAACCGTTTCCTTCTTTGGATTACTCTATCTTAGTAGGAGACAACTGATATGAAAAAAAAAGAGAAGGAATTTGCCTTTGAAAGTTGACCTAAAACTACTGGGTACAAGATATGTAGACACAGTTGATAGTTCATTATGGATTAAAATCTATTATCCAATATCATAAAAGACAATAAATGTAACATTAGTAGAAAAATAGCAATGTAAAAAAAAAACAGTCACATTCATCAACACTGCCAATGAACTACTGTAAACAAATTCCACATACTTTCCAGACCGGTCAAACAGCATGCAGTAGACAGCAGACAAGTGTCCAACGGAACGCAGAAACAACTGCATACGACTGTAGAATTTATCAGTAACCAAGTGCTTGCGGTTGGCATTGCCCATGAGCTCTCTTCCCAATATAGCTTGGGTGAGACATGGAGGTCCACGCACTTTAACAGGTTCCAGAGGAGGATTGCCATGACGACGTACCACCAAGCTTAACAGGCTCTTGTATTGCTTCCACAGATCTGAGGACAACAGTTGAATCATTAAGGTGTAATCTTGGTGCACTGCCATAATTTTACAGATTAGTACATAGAAAGGAAGCTATTAAATGAAGTGCAGTTCAATTAAAGACATTACAACTGTCTCCAATACATAACATTACAACCCTCTCCACTACATGATGCTACAAAAATATACTCTGTATAACACTACTGTACAACCATCTCAGCAATAAAAAAAAAATGATCTCCACTACACATGAACACCACCATTACATGAGAACTATTTTCAATACACAAGAACTACCACAGTAGTACACAAGAACCAATGACACTACACAAGAACTATTACCATTACACAAGCACCACTGCCACTACACAAGCACCACTGCCACTACACAAGCACCACTGCCACTACACAAGCACCACTGCCACTACACAAGCACTCACTGACCGCACTACACAAGCACCACTGCCACTACACAAGCACCACTGCCACTACACAAGCACCACTGCCACTACACAAGCACCACTGCCACTACACAAGCACCACTGCCACTACACAAGCACCATTGCTGCTATCCAAGAACTAGTTTAAGTATGTTTTATAAGCCTTTTATATCTGCCTTCAAGTCTAGTCTGCTGCTGTGGTCAGAATACTCAGTAGAGTACTTGCTACCTTACTTCTCTCTCATTTATTTCCCAGTCATACTGTTGACAATGCCTCATCTGGACTCTCATCCACTATGTGATAACTCATCCAATACATACAAGTTATCCAAGATTATTCTTCACCCCTGCTTAGCTTATCTATTCCTGCATTATACAATACCAGTTAAGGACTGCCAGGCAATTACCCAACACCACTGCCACTAACTACACTAAACCATCGCCCCCTGCACAGGAACTATCACCCCCATGCAAAGGAACCATCCCCACCTCACAGGAACCACCACCACTGCACAGGAGCCACCACCACTTCACAGGAGCCATCACCACTGCACAGGAGCCATCACCACTGCACGGACTCACCACGCACAGGAACCATCACCACTGCACAGGAACCATCACCACTGCACAGGAACCATCACCACTGCACAGGAACCATCACCACTGCACAGGAACCATCACCACTGCACAGGAACCATCACCACTGCACGGAACATCACCACTGCACGGAACCATCACCACTGCACTGGAACCATCACCACTGCACTGGAACCATCACCACTGCACTGGAACCATCACCACTGCACTGGAACCATCACCACTGCACTGGAACCATCACCACTGCACTGGAACCATCACCACTGCACTGGAACCATCACCACTGCACTGGAACCATCACCACTGCACTGGAACCATCACCACTGCACTGGAACCATCACCACTGCACTGGAACCATCACCACTGCACTGGAACCATCACCACTGCACTGGAACCATCACCACTGCACTGGAACCATCACCACTGCACTAGCCCTATCACTGCACTGGAACCATCACCACTGCACAAACCCCATCACTGCACTGGAACCATCACTACTGCACAAGAACCATCACTGCACTGGGACCATCACCACTGCACAAGAGCCATCACTGGAACTATCATTACTACCCAAGTGACAAGTGTAGAAGCATTCAAGAGGAAACTGGACCAGGCAAACTTTGAGAGTAGTGAGACTTGAAACTCATGAAAGGTAAAAGGTAAAGGCTAATAATATAAGAAATAGGATCAACATCATAAAATTCAGATTTCAAATATTTCCATTTGTACAACCACCACCTGGGTTCTAGGTACAATTTCCCCTCCCCACAACTAATAATACATACTACAACTTAAAAAATTAAATTTAAGGGGTGGACCAGTAAGCCAGTGAAAGGCCTTGGTCAGATGACTAAAAGCTCCAGATGCGTGTCATCACATGACTAAAACCCACATCACGAAACACTTGTCCTATTTCCTGACAAACCTAACCACCACTGGTAGAAGATATACCAATACCAATATAGGTGTACCTTGTTCTGTTCGTAAAAGTGATTGTGCTCCAGCACCTAGAAGTGTGGAAGCTGTAGGATATGGAACTCTTACTAGCTGGTTGATAGCTGGCCCCAGACGTGCCACCATCTGCAGCAAATGATCATTCTTGATGTGTATATTTTGCTCATCCTGTAAAAATAAAAGTGTATTTAGTGTGTTTCCATTTTGAACAAGTACAGCACAATTTATCCCATAATATATTTTCAGATGGATAACCAATAACAAGAGATGTAAGATGGGGCATCATGACTAGTAAGAGCACACTACAAAAACAAGTTTTCAGAAGAACTACAATAGTACCTCGGTACTCAAACTTAATTTGTTTCAGAAGGCTGTTGGAGTACCCAACAAATTTTTCCCATGAGGAATCTTGTAAATTATTCCTTATAGTTGGTTGTTATCACTAATCTTCTCAGGTCCCTACACCCTGCAATAATCTCATAGACCATCCGAGTCACATTCCAAAAATATACGCAAAATAGACAACCAGTATCAAGGGAAGAGATAAGAACTGGTATCCCTGACAAGCAGGGCTATGGAGTCAGAGTCGTGGATTCGGAAGCAATTCTTGGGCTACTGGAGTAGGAGTTGGGTTACCTGAGTCAGTAAACTGTAATCAAAGGAGTTGGAGTCAAAGGTTTTATGTACCGACTCCACAGCCCTGCTGACAAATCTTGGTTATTGATACTATTTTATTCTCAGGGCTTTAAGGATTAAGTTAAAAAAAAATACATGGTAGCGCACAAATTATATGCAAGACTATTTAAAATTTAATGTAATTAAAGAATTACTGTACATTTGCAATCAAGCATTTGAAATAATGAGAACCTTCATTACATGTCACTACAACCATCTGTACTAAAATAGTTTTATCTACAACATCTTATATACATATACTGTAATGTATTTATTACTTAGGGTTTTACATTAAATATGTTTTGGGCAATATCATTTGATAAAGAATTACACATGTGCAACACCTGAATAATGAAGGAAGTATCCCGATTGATTAGTATTTTTATTTTGAAGATAAAACTATGTACTGTATATGTAAGAAAATATGATAAAGGTATAATGGCTGTGTCTAACAGATTTACAAGGGTGGCACAGAGCATCAACAATAGTAGGTAATATATTGTGGGTTAGAAGTGGAGACTTCTAATCAATGATATATTATATGTTAAAAATCACTCATTTCCAAGCTCACGAGATCGACTAACCAGTGTATTTCTAAATGCGTGTATTGTCATACGAATGCAATTGTGTAAGCAAGTTCGTACATACACCGTCAGGCTCTCAGGAGTTCATGTAATGGAGGTTTGCAGGTCTGTCATTTTCGAGGGGACATCTACAAGATGTTTTTAATTTGTCTTCAGTACTATATAAATGGCATCCTTCAGTTGGTAACCTAAAAAAGGGCAGCTGTACCTTTGCAAAATTAAGTTGATTTATGTATTTATTCTTCAGGGAATGCAAGGTGCTAAAAAATTCCAAACCAAAATAAAAAGTTTAACCATCAGTTCAAAGTGTACAAATTTAGATTTTTAAAAGATATAAAAAGCACAGGTTTGGCACTAGTGCTGAAGTGGAGCAAACTGCCAAGCAGTGCCACTGAAGCAAATGCTTAGGGGAGCTTAAAAATAGACTCGACGGATACACAAGTGAGAATTGTTGGAAACTTTATTTGGATTATTAGCCCCAGTGTTAATAACCCAAGAAAGTCAAGAGGTACAGTTTACTTTGGGGTTCTTAGGTTCTCCCCCAGGATGAAACCCATAAGTGGACTAATTCATAGGTGAACAGATGGGTGAACAGAAGTCAGTCTTGTCTATATACCTCACCCCATCCAAGCTTGAATCCTAGTCCTTTTTGGATGCGAGCATGATGGTTTACTATTGAGCTCTGAGGTGAGACCTGACTGATGCAGTTATGTTTACTTAAGTATAGAGGAAAGGGGGGAAAAGTGTAATGGGATGATATTTCACCCACATAGTGGGCTTTATTATATCAAAGAGATAAACCTGCATAAGTAGGCTGAGTATATATGAACAGTGAGGTGAGGAGTAGGGTTAGGTATGAGGCAAATGGTGGTGCAGTGTCCTAGCAAACTTACTGCAGTATTCCTCCAAGCTGTTGCAGTTTCCTAGAAAGAGACTACTATATTGTACAAGTTATTGTTCTGAAACTGTTGTATGGACAGACAAGTGATTAGGGTTCTTCCTTCATAATGAATAGTGCAAATTTGTAATTAAATCAAGTGGTTGTGGAAGTTTTGATGTTTAATGCAATACAGGCATATTGGATGTTTCTTCACAGTCATTCCAAGGGACTGTGTGCACCCCTGCACATCCTTGATCACAAAAGTAGTGGTGGTTATTTTGAATCTGATATTGGAGATAATATCAGAAGTATATCTGATAGTATAGCTATCAAACATAGTCCTCCCTAATAACTACTGCCAAACATATCTCCAATATTCTCTCCAATACCATATTCCAATTAGTCACTAATGTCTTCTGCTATGATCAATGATATCACCAGTAAGGGTAACCACCAGCAGAACAAAACCACTGGATCATACAAGAACTCTTGGAATAACCGACAAAATATAAACGAGTGAAACATCACTACACCAGTAGAACTGACGACTTGGATAATGCCTGCATTTCACACAAGCTCTGACAACTACACTATTAATTACATGGGAGCACCCAGAGAAGTATTTCTCTGGGAACACCCTGAGAAGTAGACCTTAGAATGAGCACTCAACAGCATATTCAACCATTTTGAACAATACAATGGTTACTACAGCACAGCCAAGCTGCTCATCAGGAAGTTCCTAGATTTTTTCCCATAAAGCAACAGTTCAGAGGAACACTGCAAAAAACTGATCCAAGCCAGACACCACACCCAGCACTTGCCACACACCTAACAATCCACCTCATGGTCATGAGGTCAGGTTTATCTATGACTTGATGAAGTCTACTGTGGACACAATAACAGATCCTGTTATAATAAAATTGTTTACAAAACCTAAAAGTAGAGGAAAGAGACGTGCAGCACTTGGGTACGTACTAAGAGAAAACACAACAAGTGTCCGAAGCCCAAGACTGTTCAACAGCCTCCCGCCATGCTTAAGGGGAATTACCAATAGGCCCCTGCCTGCCTTCAAGAGGGAGCTGGGCAGATACCAAAGTTGGTGACAGATCAGCCGGGCTGTGGTTTGTACGCTAGACTACGTGCGGCCAGCACTAACAGCCTGGTTGATCAGGCCCTGATCCACTGGGAGGCCTGGTTGTGGACCGGGCCACGGGGGCGTTGATCCCCGGAACACCCTCCAGGTAGACTCCAGGTAAGAGGTAAAGCATTTGCAGATGGCATCATAGGTGGGTGGAACTCACAAGTGGAAACAGGTCATGTCATTTTATCCATTTTAATTAAACCCACATAGGTCATACAGTGCCTAGAAGGCATTTAAGTTCAATACAAGGGGAACCCTTCTAGTGCCTTGGATCAAGAGCATGACCTTCCCCCTCGAACAAAGGTCATACCAACAGGTTAGGCAAGTGTTGGATTATTATAATCAAAAGAAGCACTAAACCCACGAGGGTCACAGGGCAAGAGTTGGAGACGATAATTCCCTGTAGCAATATGCCAGTATACTATACTTCTCTCTCCCTTACCATTGTGTCGATATTTTAAACCAGAGAAAAGCTGTTGTACACCTACTAGCCCATATCTGACAAGTTCTATTTCCACCCAGCTATTATCACTGGCATATTTGTTTGACCTATGTTTTAACGTTAAAACACTGAGGTCCGGAGTTCGAATCTCTGGTACGGCTGAAAAACATTAGGGACGAGTTTCCATAAGACACCTGCTGTCCCATTCACCCATCAGTATAAAATGGGTATCTGGGTGTTAGTGGACTGGTGTTTACCTGGAGAGAGTTCCGGAGGTCAACGCCCCCGCGGCCCGGTCTGTGACCAGGCCTCCTGGTGTGGGTTGCATCCTGGGACAAAACTGACCTAATTTGCTGGAAATGCTCAGCATAACAAGGGACTTTCTATATAGTAGTAAGTCACTGATGTCCGCAATGGTCTGTATACCTTGTACATATGTACTTGTAGAAATAATAAATATTATTATTATACCTATCAATTTGTTCCTCTCATTTACTACTATACTGCCAAACCAACTCTCTCCCATTTCCTTGAAAAAATCTGAAGTTTATTTAACTTTAAATTCTTCACCGAAGATTATCTTGACATACTCTCACCAACTCGTATAGTTTAACAAATTTGCTATTCCTAATTTCATTCATATCCACCTAACACTGTCTTTCCAAAGATTAAATTCAGTGATTTTAACACATCTTCATATTTAATCCTTTCCTTTGCTTCTACTCTATTTTTTCTTCCAGAGGAAGTGAGATATAGACGTGAATTAACGACAAATATGCAATATCATCTCCACGGGTCATTAACCAGGCTCCACACCTTGCACCTGACTGGATTAAATCAATGGTCAAATTTTGAGAGTAAGTTTATGTAGAGGTACACACAAGTACAATTATTATACATTGTGAAAATTATCTAGGATAACCCAAAAAAGGTCAGACATTTCCATTGAGGTCGTCGAGAAAGGTAACGTAAATATATCTTGATATATCCGTATTTGTTGCTCTATTCTGGCAAATGTGAGCATTTTCCCCTCACCTTAATGTTATTGATGTTATTAGATATCGATAATAATGGTAATGTGGCTCAGAAATTTCAATAGTAATGGTAATGTGGTTAAATTATGAGGATTATGGGAAAGCCATAAGGATCAAAAGCGCCTGATAAATGGGAAGATAATATATTTGATCCGAGGAAAGGGAGGATAGCATAAGTATATGGGGCCAAGAACCCTTCACGAAGGAGATAGTGAAGTGGAAGGCAGAAGGAAGAACAGAGATGGTTGTGATGTCTTTGTGAGTCTCAGTGTTGCACAATATTGATCCCTACAGCAGGCCCCGCCCACCACACCTGCCCCACCAATGAGAGGCCAGCAAGAGCACTGCTCCTCGCCCGCTGATTGGCTCTTCACCCTCACCACTCCTCGCTGATTGGCTGCCCACCCACCCACCAACCCTGCTACCAACTCACTTTTTATTTCCACTTTTTCTAACACCTAGGAAAAACACTTCACAAAATCTGGCGAGTCAATAATAAACACTAGATAAGGAAGGACAGATCAGAGTGAGAGAAGGAGAGTAAAAGAAGGGAGGTGAAGAAGGAGGGGAGAAGAAAGATGGTAGATGGTGGTGAGGTGAGGTAGCCAGCACCATCATCATCACTATTCTCTCTCTCTCACTCTCCCTCTTATCTCCCTCACTACCATACTTCTTTCTCAATTACCAACAAAACACCACAAACACACTATACACCCCGGATAACAACCCACCTAAATCACAACATCCCCCCCCATTTAAAAAAAATAACATCACAACTTACCACTTGTTGAAAAGTTTTACTGTAACTTCGTCCCAGCCAGTCACATGTAGTGGGCAGCAACTGTATGGGGGGAAAAAATAAAATAATATAGTTGTAGGGGGTGATAGAAGGGGGGGGGGTAAGTGTGGGGAAGGGGGGTTAAAGGGGGGGTAGCCCCCCAGCCAGACATGTACACACAACCACGTGCTTCACCAGCTGACAGATACCACATCACACAACTTACCTCATTTTCCTCGATTTCTGCTCTCAGCGCCTGCAAAAGAGAGAGGAGGGTGTCAGATGGGGCGGGTTTGAGGCGGTGTGTGTCACCCCCAGCGTCTAATTCACTTACCTGGTAAGCTTTCTTGCAAGGACCTGATGATAAGTACTTGACCATCAAATAATACAGTTCTGCAACAGAGAAAGACTCGGAGTTAGACCGCGAAATTCACTTCACTTTCAAATATCATTTTCCACGTCTGTTTGGCCTATAACTCACCGATTTCCAGGGCACTGTATGCCTTATTAACTGCACTATTACCCCGTGAGGTTGAAGGTGCCACATCCATAGCAGAATGCGGGTAAATTTGTGTAAAATGTAGGGTCAGTGTGTTGTGGTGTTGAGCAGCATTATTGCTCCAGTCTCAGCGTTGTGGTGAGCCGCGTAACACCCCTCACCTCACCATCAACACCGACACACAAACTAGTCCCTCACTACTACCTCAATTATCACCGCCGCTAACTACCCTCATGCACTTCTAACATCTTCACTACATTCACAAACTCACCCACGCAAATCATGGCTTCTCTAGTAACGTTATAATTGTATTTTACAACGAACAATATGACGCGGACCTGGATACGTTACACTCGAAGCATTTGCGGCTTTTTATTTTCGCGTCAATCCTATGAACATTAAATTTATTCCCCAAATTCACTCAAAATAACACATTACAATACACTAAATTACTCTTTACTCAATTACGTTATCAATTTCATTGATAACATATGCAATTCCTCAAGCACAGCTTTCAACAACAAATCTCTAAATTTATCATGTTTAAATCTCCAGTGACATAGTTGGCCAAACTTGCTGCCAAATTTTATCACTTTAGCAAATTTTGCTAAACTTGTCCAGACATCAAGAATAAATTATTTATTTTCTCTCACTAAGCATTCGAATATTTCGTATTTCACAATAAACTGCAATAGTTACTCTAGTAGCAAATGTGTAAGTTGTTTGGCAGTATTAAAACTATTTCAGTAAAAATAATAGCAATAATAATAATAATAATAATAATAATAATAATAATAATAATAATAATAATAATAATGGTAATAATAATGTAATAATAATAATAATAATAATAATATTAATATATATATGTTAATAATAAAATATAACAATAATAATATAATATTAATAATATTTTAATAATTAGAAATATACTATAATAATATATTATAATATATATAAATTATAATAATTATTAATTATTATAAATATATATATATATATATATATTATTATTTATAATATATATATATATTTAATAATTATACTATTATATATAATATATATATATATATATATAAATAATACATTATATATATAATATATATATTAATATATATATAATATACAATAAACAATTTATTATATCAGAATAAAACCCATGAATTAATACTTAATTAAAATATATAAATATAGCCAAATAAACCACATTTATTTACAAAATATAGCAGAATAACCATCAGTTCAATATACATAAAAATATATCCAGAAAATAAACCACATTTAATAATATATAAATAATAGGCAGAATAAAACAATAACTATCATTATAAATAAAACCAAATAAACCATTATTCAAAAATAACCAAAAAAACCATATTTAAGTAAATAGGATAAAATAAACCATTATCAGCTAAATAAACCAGAATAAACATTAACCACGTTATACATATAATAAACACAACATAAACCATTCAATTAACCAAAATAAACCATATTTACATAAACGAGAATGAGAATAATAAATCGCTCATTTATAGCTCCTAAAATCTACCTGAAGATCTATTGTTAGAGGACTAAATATCCGACAATTAAACCCTTCTGACAATATACCATAAACCATATACAAGTAGATAAACTGATGTTATTGTAGATTCTTGATCTTCATTTCCTCTATTCTCCATGGGGAAGTGGAAAAGAATCTTTCCTCCGTAAGCCATGCGTGTTGTATGAGGCGACTAAAATGCCGGGAGCAATGGGCTAGTAACCCCTTCTCCTGTACGAAATACCAAAAAAGAGAAGAAAAACTTTAAGAAACTGGGATGCTTGATGTGCGTGGATGTTGTGGCTAAAGCTCCCGCTTCACACACGGAGGGCCCGGGTTCGATTCCCGGCAGGTGGAAACATTTCGACACGTTTCCTTACACCTGTTGTCCTGTTCACCTAGCAGAAATAGGTACCTGGGTGTTAGTCGACTGGTGTGGGTCGCATCCTGGGGGACAAGATTAAGGACCCCAATGGAAATAAGTTAGACAGTCCTCGATGACGCACTGACTTTCTTGGGGTATCCTGGGTGGCTAACCCTCCGGGGTTAAAAATCCGAACGAAATCTTATCTTATCTTATCTTATGATTGCTAATGTAATGAATGAAAAGAAGTTGGATGTCCTGGCTCTAAGCGAAACAAAGCTAAAGGGGGTAGGTGAGTTTCAGTGGGAAGAAATAAATGGGATTAAGTCAGGAGTATCTGTGAGAGAGCTAAGGAAGGGGTAGCAATAATGTTGAAGGATCAGTTATGGAAGGAGAAGAGGGAATATAAATGTATAAATTCAAGGATTATGTGGATTAAAATAAAGGTTGGATGCGAAAAGTGGGTCATAATAAGTGTGTATGCACCTGGAGAAGAGAGGAGTGTAGACGAGAGAGAGAGAAAGATTTTGGGAGATGTTAAGTGAGTGTGTAGGAACTTATGAGCCAAGTGAGAGAGTAATTGTGGTAGGGGACCTAATGCTAAAGTAAGAGAAACATTTAGAGAGGGTGTGGTAGGTAAGTTTGGGGTACCAGGTGTAAATGATAATGGGAGCCCTTTGATTGAAATTTGTAGAAAGAAGTTTGGTTATAGGTAATACATATTTTAAGAAAAAGAGGATAAATAAATACAGGATATGATGTAGGGCGTAATGACAGTACGTAGTTTGTTGGACTAAGTAATGGTAGATAAAAGACTTCAAGATGTACAAGTTTATAGAGGGGCCACAGATATATCAGATCACTTTTTAGTTGTAGCTACAGTAAGAGTGAAAGTTAGATGGGATACAAGGAAAATGGAAGCAGCAAGTAAGAGAGGTGAAAGTTTATAAGCTAAAGTAAGAGGCAGCTAGTGTAAGATATAAACAACTATTGGAGGATAGATGGGCAAGTAAGAGCATAGGCAATGAGACTGAAGATGTATGGGGTAGGTTTAAGAATGTAGTGTTAGAGTGTTCAGCAGAAGTTTGTGGTTACAGGAAGGTGGGTGCAGGAGGGAAGAGGAGCGATTGGTGGAATGATGTAAAGTAGCTAGGAATGATGGGATAAAGATAGAAATGTTAAAAGCAGGTGGAGAAATAGTTCTGGACAGGTTGGTGCTTTTAGTTAATAAATATATGGAAGATGGTAAGGTACCTAGGGATTGGCAGAGACCATGCATAATTCCTTTGTATAAAGGCAAAGAGGATAAAAGAGAGTGCAAAAATTATAGGGGAATAAGTCTGTTGAGTATACCTGGTAAAGTGTATGGTAGAGTTATTATTGAAAGAATTAAGACGAACAAGGAGGCTTTAGGAAGGGTAGGGGTATGTAGACCAAGTGTTTACAGTGAAACATATAGGTGAACAGTATTTAGATAAGAGTCAAGAGACTTTTGTGACATATATGGATTTGGAAAAGGCTTATGATAGGGTGGATAGGGACACAATGTGACAGATGTTGCAGATGAATGGAATAGGAAGTAGGTTATTGAAAGCAGTGAAAAGTTTTTTTACGAGGATAGAAAGGTCAGTTTAGAGTTTTTTGGAGGAGGGAGTTTTTTTTCCCGAAAAGGGCCTTAGCAAGGATGTGTGATGTCCCTTTGGTTGTCCAATTATTTATGATGGGGTTGTAAGAAAAGTGAATGCTCGGGTGTTGGCAAGAGGCGTGGAGTTAACAGATAAAAAATCTAACACAAAGGGAGTTGCCCCCATTTACTCTTTGCTGTGACACTATGCTTTTGGGAGATTCTGAAGAAATTTGTTTGGGGTTGGTTGAATTTGGTGGGGTATGTAAACGAAGAAAATTAAAGTGAATAAGGAAAGGTAAAGTAAAGGGAATAAAAAAAAAAAATGCTAACAAGGATTGGATATCAGATTGGAGGGGGAGAGCATGGAGCAGATGGGGCTATGAAATGAGGGGAATCATAGAATTACGGGGGGAAAAAGGTGAGTGGTGACTGGGATCGTGGAACAAAGAACTTTTTCCATGGAAGCAAAGAGGGGAATGTATGAGAGTATAGTTATTCCTAATGCTTTAAATGGGTGTGACAGTTGGTGGTGCATGTTGAACAAGGAGAAGGTTGGAGGCTGTGGAGATATCGTGTCTGAGGGGCAATGTGAGGTGTTAATATAATGCAGAGAGTTCGTAAGTTTGGAAACAATTAGGAGGTGTGGGATTACCAAAAATATTATCCAGAGGATGTAGGAGGGGTTGTTTGAGGTGTTCGGACATGTAGACAGGTTGGAACAACAAATAGAATGACTAAGTGTGTATAAATGTGTAGTGGAGGGCAAGCAAGGTTAACAGTCGGCCTGGAAAGGTTGGAGGGTGGGGGGTAGTATGGGTTAAAGGAGGGTTTGTGTTTTGTGGCGAGGGGCTTGGACTTCCGCAAGCTGGCACGAGTGTGTAGATAGCGAATGGAGGGGACAAAATGGTTTTTAGGACTTGACGTGCTGTTGGTGTGTGAGCAAAGTAAATTTATGAAGGGATTCAGGGAAAACCTGCAGCCGGGAACTTGAGTCCTGGAGATGGGAAGTACAGTGCCTGCACTATGAAAGGAGGGGTGTAAATGTTACTGTTTTATTAATTGAGTGTAAGCGCGCATCTGACAATAAAAGTGTTGGGTGAATGATGGTGAGAAGTTATTCTTTTTCGGGTCACCCTGCTTGGTGGGAGACGGCGCTCTGTTAAATATTTACATAATTAAAGTAAATAAATCATATGTTAGTAGAAAAAATATTACCAATTAAATGTAAACCATATTATATATATATTTATAATATATATTTTATATATATATTTTTATATATATATATATATATATGTATATATTTATATATAGATATTATATATATATATATATATATATTTATATATATATATACATAATATATATTTTTATATATATTATTTTTATTTATATATATTTATATATTTTATATATATATTTATATATATACCTAGATTTATATATTTACATACATAAATATATATATAATATATATTATATATTTAGATGATATAGATTATTACTATATTTATATATTATATATATTTGTATTTTTTTATATATAAAGTTTAAATATGATATAATATTGCGCTACATTAGCGACATTATGTGTAGCTTAGCAGTGTTGCTGGTGGCAGCCGGCAACACTTCTTATATAACAAACT